AAATCAAGACTTTATTCATTAGCCTGGTAATTAATTAAAGCTGGCAGTCAGTACCACCGACAGTAAACAACAATGTTGGTGCTTTTTTTTTCTCTATTACCTCTTGCAATGCATGAGAGCATTCTTCCGGGGCAAGGCACTCGAGTCTCTTGGACGATTGATGAGGCCAAATTCTTCTTCTGAATACTATCAGACGATAATGCACGTACCTCTCGTCCCTTAGAAAAGAATACGAAGCGGGTGTTGAGTTTCGCCACCATCTTTTTACTGAATAGAACCTTCTTCTAGCGATGGATCATTAATTTCGAAAGAAGTAATGTGACAACTTCACTGGCAGTCCTCTCTTTTCTCGCCATGATGCCAATGAAATTGGCGAAAAAATAAAAAGCGTTCTCAGAGAAGATTTTCTATCGTCTGCATGTGGCGCTTTACCACTCAATGATTAATAGAAAACAAAATATGACTGGCGGTTATTCTGGGAAAAGAATGCCCGCTTGAGAATGGTAGGGATTTGCATAAAGGTAAAAGGTTTTGAATGATGATGACATGAGAGTGGAAAGGAGAGTCTAAATTTTTAAGTTGGTTTGTGTTTCTTTTAGCATGCGTTTAAAAATGAATAATAATAATAATTCAACAGACGCTCATGCACAAGGAAATAAAAATAGAGTAAAGAAGTCCATTATTACAACAATGCATAACAACAGAACATTAGAAGCCGTAAACTCAAACTTGAATCGGCTGTTCAACAACGGTTATAAAGTTAAAATTGCATAACAACACTCTTCCCAATGAAGGGTCCCGGACTCGAATCGCAGCGAGGCCTGTTAGAAACGAATTCCGCACCTGGCTTGTTCCAACCACAGTGCTGTCGTAAAAATATCCTCCGTAGTAGGTGGATCATAGGGTTTTCCTACGGTCATGTCAAATAAAGATTTTCGTGGTTTTTCTCTCCATGTAACGAAAATGCAGGTTCGTTCCATTAAAAAATTCACCACGCAGGCAAATTTCTCCCAATACTTAATCAAGGAATTATCTTATTTTCTGGATGGAGATCAAAATTACAAGGCTGTGGTATTGAAAATTGATAGTTGCAAACTCAACATTGGGTCTGCGGTTCAACGACGGTTATAAAATAAAAAATGTAATGAATATGTAATAGTCGTTGTAGCGAGCTTTTCGTCATTAACGAATATTCATATTTTATGTAAAAATAGTAATAAAATGATGACTAAAAATGTAATAGGCATATATGGGTGATTCTTTAGAAACATGACAATTCGGAAAAAAAAAATATTTCTTCAAATTTAAAGTCTTCAAAAGAATCTAAATTTTTTTTGTATATTTATTTAGTTACATTTATTAATATCTTACAGACAGCAGTGTAGGTTATTGACATTTGCTCAAGAAAAAAAAATGAAATTGAAGTTCACTAAATTTTGAATGCAGGAAAATGACTAGAAGGCCAGGAAAATGAAATATTAGCTCAGAAGTCATTTTAAGCTAATAGTAAGTAACTCAACTTAAGAAACTCGAAAAAGACAAAGTTGAGAAGTTAATTTTAACTTTTTATGTAAATAAATTCCAGAAATAATTGTGAACAATTTCAACAAATTAGTTAAGTATAATGAAAGTGAGAGAGTAACACACACAATGAGATATTTTTTAATTTTGCGTCACTTTAATTCGCAAAGAAGCAGTTAAAACAAAGAAAACAAAAAAAAATTGTCAAATTATATTAATCCTGAAGCTTTTAGAGGAAGCAAAATGCCTGGAAGATATTGGGTAAGGAGCAGACATTTTTGAATTTGTGATATTCTAAGAAATTTTGACACAATCTTTTTTCCCGGGCCACCTAAAGTGATTAGCAGTCTGTTTGCCAGTACGAATAATAAAGTTAACTTTAATATCTTTACAAACGACTTCAAAAACTTCTCCTACAATGAAAATGATAATCTAAGGAACTTTTTAATTAATTTTATAAAAATGTATATTAAAATTTATTTTATAATAATTTACAACGGAAATTTTTTAATAATATTATTTAAATTTAAAATATTTAAGTCCTTTAATTTTTAAACTTTATTACATTCCTTAATTTATACTTAAAGACTATGACAGAATTAAATTGTACAGGGATGTTCTTAGTTTATCCTTTGTGTTTTTAACTATCTGCGTTTAAAAAAAAATAACCTAACTCCTTTGCGTTTCATGGACCATGATTTGTTTAATTTAATTCTTTTATCCACTGTAGAAAGAATCAGGAATGTTCTTGTTGCTGATATGTACAGCATAAAATTGTGTATAATAATCAATCATTAAATAAATAAATAACTTTAATTACATACGAGCATATTACAATCTTTCATCAACTGGATATTAGTTTCATATTTGCTTTCCCTCTTTACATTATAGTGCTTGAAAAATTTTCTTATAACTGTGTTAATGACCTGGAATTTATAAGCCAGGAAAATGACAATCTTGCCATTTTACAGCATTTAACAGTCCTTTAATTTAACATTTTGGCCTAAGATTTTTACATTCCGCAGAAAACACCAGGATTTCTTGAACTAATTAAGGTAAATGTAAATAGTTTATGTTATTAATGATTTCAAGAGGACAGGAAAATGACAACATAAAAACCTACGCACCTTGTGAAATTTTTTGAAATACATTTTGACTCAGAAAGTTGGTTCTTTATTCCTGCAATTAGACATGTTCTGATAGGATGGTATTCTAATCAATCTCTTAACCTAAGATATTGATTGCTAGAGCAATCACTGCAAATTTGGTTACAAATTACTAAAAATAAGTGGCCAGGAAAATGACAGATTTTCATGTGACAAACAAATTATTGACAGAAAAAATTATTTTTGACATAGTTTTTGGAAATAATACCCTCTGCATATACTCTAGAAATGCTTACAACGGTTGAGATAAAAAAAATTTGATATTGAAAAATATATAGGAAGTTTTGAAGCTAAATATTATTGGAAATATTGCTTGTGACATACCAGGAAAAAGACATTTTAGCATTCAATTAAATTTTTTAACTATACAAAGCAATCAATGCTAGTGCAAAGTCATTTTAAAATGCTAACAGCAATATTATTTATTAATTTTTTAAAAAAAGATCTTTTATTAGTATAGCATTAGATCTCGGAGCAAGAGACTGTGAATTGTCATATTTCATCAGAATCACCCATATACTTCTTTATTTCGAGCAACTATTTTGAATTATTATATATATCTAGAGTTGAATGCTTTTACCTACATATATAACTGAATTACGCTCTTCTTCAATTTTTCTTTATGAATTACTCTCTACTTAATGAAAGGTAGAAATATTTACGATAGGATTGTCTGAATTACATTTTCCAATGCATGACAGGTTTTTTCAGGAAAAAAATTAAACAAAGTGCAATATCTTTCGTCATTATTGATAATAGCGAATGTTGATTTTAATATTTTAATAGCAAGTTTTCGAGAAGGGAAATATTGCATACTGAATGCTAGGATAAATATACTAGGGAAATATTGTACTGTATACTGACCACAGATTACATGCTGAATTACTTAGCTCTCAATTGTAGGAATGGTAAAAAGTTCTACTATAGAAATGTTTGAGCAACTTTCTCCAAAACGTAACAAGTTTTTGCAAGGAAAAAATTAAACGGAGTGGAATATTTTTTGACATTATTGATAACAGTGAATGTACATTTTAAATTCTGGTTATTTAACCGCCTGAAGTGAAAGCAATAAATAAATGGTTTTTATCACAGTTAACAGTTTGATTACCACCTTATTTATGGTTAATCGACTGTTTTGTTTAAAAATAGTAAAATAACAATTACATAGATTGTTATTTACCGTTTTTTTCGATAAATTTCTAATAATGCATATGCGTTAAGACAAGCGTCAGAAGCCGTTTCCTAGATGTTCATCAAATTCTGCGGAAAAATTAAAAATTAAAAAACGAAGTTATACTAGTTTACTTTTTAAATATTTAAAATATTAAACTTTTCAGTCAATGAATTATTTACTTAGCTTATAAATTTTTAAGTAATAATTGTTTTAAAGTACTAAAGCATGTATTTAGATAAAAGAATGTTCTTTTTTTTGATTATTGCTTAACGTTTTTTTCTTATACCCTTAATATATTTTTCAGTTATGTACTATATAGTATTTTTATTCCACTTAGTGATTAAAATTTCTAAATTACTTAAATAAATTGTAATATAAAAGGCAGTAAAGATACTGAATACACTGAGAAAAAGAGTATGGTAAAAGTACCAGAATATGGTAAAATTTACCGTATTTATGTCTATATAGGAACACCAAAAATAATAGAAATTTCTACCGAAGAGCTTTCGTAAAATTAACAATAAAATAGTGTTTCATAATATGTGAGAAAATTTGGTAGTTTTATGATAGTACCTTAAAGCATGACATTAAAACCTATTTATTCGATAATTTTCCTTTTTTAGTTTTGTATTTTTTCTAAATGTGTGGTAATAAAAATAATAATTTTGAAAACCAGAATTTTCAGTAAACTGTTATCATATGAACAGAAAACTTTACAAATTAATGGTTTAAATACCAGAGTTTAAATAATTTTATAACCTAGAAAATTTTATTATCCAGAATCAGATTCTTTTAAGTCAGAAATGTCATTACTACTATACGACTATTTTATCAAATTTTTTTTTTTGTGTAGCACTTTTCAAATGACTAATATTAATAAAAAAAATATTTAAAAAAAGTTTTTAAAGCTTTAAAAATGATTTATTAATTAATTTATTTTTTCATCTGGAGAGTAATAAAAAGACAAGTTGCTAAGATTTTTTTCAATCAAACTTCATACGGAGTAAATACTGCTAAGTTCAAATAACAATTTGTACTTAGTCTGTTTGGAAGCATGATTATTAGCAACCCTAAATCCACAGCTACGTGAGGCCAGCGAGCTTTTGTCCCACGCCAGACAGAAAAAAAGAAAAGTCTTATTTAAGAATTTGCAACCAATTTTTTTATATTTATAAATAAATAAAATACGAAGTTACACACTTTCTTATCACATAAGCATTTGAATTATTTACAAGATCATCTATGCAGAGAATATCGACACAATGGTATCAGTCCTATGGACAGCTTTTAGAAATAGCTGTTTCTGCTAGTTGAAGATTTTGAGAGGAAACTTCTTTTGAAGTTGGAGAATTAGGCTTGAACAAGTCTGTTTGGGTAAAAATCTAAAAAGAGAAAAGTAAATTACTGCAGATGAAGGTTCAGACAATAAAATGGGTTTTGCATCAATTATTATAAACACAAAAAAAATTTTTTATAGCTTAATTAAAATTTTTCTAAGTTGGTAACGTGGTATCGGCACTAATTACCGATCATTTTGGTTTATTACGTTAACGAAATATTTTCGTGCACGATATTTTCTTTTGAAATGAAATGTACTGAGTGCCAAAAAAGCCACGGCCCACCCTGAATAACTTTTGATCTAATGATTGGATCTTTACGCTCTAGGAATCAGTTTTAATGGTTTTAGAGGGCGACCTAAAATAGGCTAATTAATTAGTGAAGACGATATTTTAAGTTACGAAATCAGACACAAAAATGTGCTTTCTTCGGATAAACATATCTTTTCTTTTAATAGATTCGGCTTTAGGACTCCCAAATCGTTGGAGATATCCGTAATTTGGGAAATATGATCCCCATAGTTTGGTCAGGATAGCAATCCAAACTTTGGACCCCTTAATGTTAATTTTATTTTTTGTGCATTTCGCCATATCTTAGGAAATTTTTAAGTGAATTGAAATTTTTTTTACACAATTATAAAATTCGTTTATCCATATATAATTCCATGCAAAAAATTTATTTTAATAAATATTTGTTGTTATTTCTTATTTAATTTAATATTAGTTGAAAATTTCTTGAAACGCTATGCATGCAAATTTTTACACACTTTCAAAGCATATAATTTTACATGACAAAATGCAAAATTTGAGCGAAATCTGTTGAATAGCTTCTGAGAAATCGAAATTTAAAGATGTTGTATAGTTAAAATCTGACTTCGCAGGAATTATTCAACTGATTTCGCTGAAATTTTGTATTTTACCATGTAATTTAAAATAGTTAAAGAAATGCATACCATACAACTCAAAATTTTGTCGCCTATTATTAAGTAAAATAATAAAAAATAATTATTATTTGCGAAAAATTATTTTTTGCATGGAATTTTCTTTTGATTAACGAATTTTAAGATAGTGCGCAAAATTTTTTTCTATTCACTTTGAAAGTTCTCGAGAAAAATGCAAAAAGTAAAATTAACATTAAGGGGTCCAAAGTTTGGATCACTCTCCTGACCAAACTATGGAGACCATATTTCCCAGATTGCGGCTATTCCCAGTATCTTGGTGATCAGAAATCCGAATTCGTTTAAAAAAAAATTATGTTTATTCAGAGAAAATACGTTTTTGTGTCAGATTTTAAACTTTAAAATATCGTCTACACTAATTAACTAACATATTTGAGATCATCCTCTCGAGCCATTAAGATGGAGTCCAAGAACGTGAAGATAATTAGATCAAAAGTTATTTAGTGTTGTCCTTTTATTTTTGGCTGTCAGCACTTCCTTTTGCACGGAAATATCATAATTTTTTTTTCATTTGTCAATTGAAAACCCCCGTTTGGAATAAAAAGTAAAAACCCAAAATTTTGTTTACTGGACGATGAGTTTCAAGTTTTGTAATAATATTGATACAACTGCAATAAATATATAAGCAAAACTTTCATGATGTTTTTATACCTATATTAAACACGTTTAATTATAGTGCTGTTTACGTAGTGAAGATTTGTGGTTCGTTGTTAATTTTAATAAGGACTCAGGTTAAGCTAAAAAAAAATTACCTGAAAAATGTTACCTTACGAACAATAATGTACTTGTTCGAATAATATCGGACCATTTGAATACTATTTCGTTCATGCCATTCTATGATTGTTGATTCAAAACTTTTGAAGTGGGAAAAAGAGTACAAAAGGAAATTTCCAACATTTTATGACTGACATTAAAAGGGATTTTTCAATTATTAAAAAATAAAAAGTTGTCCTGAAAAATGTTCAATTAATTAATAGTGTATCTATAGAACGTTCAAAAGTTAATCTGACATGCTCATAGCCTTTACAATAATCAGGTGGTTAAACATCAAAACGAAAAGGAAAACAAGATGTTATTTGAAAATTCATACAATTGTAAACTACTATTTGTTATGGAAATAATGAATTTAAATTTCCAATAGAAAAAAAATGTCGTCCACAGCTATACACAGCTATGTCGTCCACAGCTATAGCTGCAGTCCACAGCTATTTGTTCATATGTTCCCACACTCTCACTAGAAAAATTTAAAAAGTAAAATTTTTAATTTCAAGCCATTAATTTTGAAAGTTAAGTTTATTCCATTATTAATTTCAATATTTAAAATTTTACTGTATATTTTATTTAGTTTCAATTTATTACGATTGCGTTAACTTAACAGTAGTTAGTTAAAATAATAGTTCTTGTCAATTTTATTTTTTTAATATTTAAAGATTAAATATCCTGAATTGCAATTTAACGAACCAATGCCACTTTCGACATAATTTGAAAACATTAAATAAATAATCCTAAAAAACTATAGCTGAAAGATATTACCTGATTAAAAAATTAATTCGCTTCAAAAATATACAAATAGGAAATAACAATCGACGTGTTTCAAGTACTTCAAAAATAGATTTCCATATCCAAGAATTGCTAGACGTGAATGACACGTTTTGCAAGACTTGAAATCGGACGCTTATTATTTAAGTGCTTTAAACATGTCGACCGTTATTTCCTATATGTATATTTTTGAAGCGAATGGAGTTTTTAATCAGGTAATATGGAAATATGTGAAATGACAATTATTTCCTATATGTATATTTTTGAAGCGAATGGAATTTTTAATCAGGTAATATAGAAATATGTGAAATGACAATTATTTCCTATATGTATATTTTTGAAGCGAATGGAGTTTTTAATCAGGCAATATAGAAATATGTGAAATGACAAATAATTCCTGTATGTATATTTTTGAAGCGAATACAGTTTTTAATTAGGTAATTTTGAAATATGAGAAATGACGAACACCGTTTACGAATCATATACTGACCATACTATGAACTATAGTAGCATCGCTTACTTCATAAACTCTTCAACTAATAGATTTATAAGTAAAGTTTAAATTTTAAATGCGTTTTAAAAATTTCAATAAAGAATTAAAAATTTTAATCAACTTTATTCACAAATCTAGAAATAAATTGATATACTACCATTAAAGCACAAATAAAGAATCCTAATATATTGCCGCACAGAACGTCATCCCAATGGTGCCTATTATCTTGAATTCTTGAAAGTGTAACGAAGATAGTCAGGAGTACGAACAAAAATTGGATTAAAGGCTTTAACAGAGCACTTGATTCTATGTCCAGCCGTTTTTGTAAGTAGAGCTAGGATTAAAAATATCATAAATATAATTTTTTTAAAGAAAATTATTTGAATGCATTCTACCGGAGTATTTAATTTAATTTTGAACAGCCGACACAATTTTTTGGGTTTGAGACTATTTATGTTCATCTCCACAGCTTTGTAATTTTAAACCCAATCCAGAAAACAAGGGAACTCCTGGATCATGTATTGGGAGAAATTTGCCTTCGTGGAGAACTTTTTGATGGAACTAACCCGCATTTGCGTTACATCGGGAGGAAAACCACGAAAACCTCATATGGTTAGCCTGGTGGCAAGGGGACTCTAACCTATGATTCTTCTACCACTGTGGATATATTTTAGGTCAGCACTGTGGTTGGTGCAAGCCGGATGCGGAATTCGTATCGACCAGCCATCGCTGGGATTCGAGTCGGGTTCATCTCATTGGAAGGCGAATGCTCTATCTCCTGAGTCATCACGGCTCTCTACAGGAGTATGAGATGTATGAAACAGGGCTATCATAAATGATTCATACAGTTTCTGGACAAATTACTGTTTATTTATAAGTGTACGGAGGACTGCTAATGCATGGAAAGATTCATACACTCACCAAGTTTCTGTTTTATACCACAAATATTCAATGTGTACTTCTGGTCAATAGGAGCACACACTGTAAGAAATGAATATTCAAATGACACGAAATTTTCTTTGTTTTTGACGAAACCATTTCCTGGTATATGCTCAGAGCGAACAATTCGTAAAGTGACGAAATAACTATCATCACTTCTTCAAGAGAACGAATTTCGTAAAAAGTAAAGAAATATTTCGTCATTCTACATTTCTCCATAAAAAGGAAAAAAACTCTCTGTGCAGAATGTATTTCACTTTTCTAATAAACAATTATTTTTTTTATCATTACTCATTTTTTAAGTAATGATAAATTTTATGCTAATTAATTACTTTTTTATCATTAGAAATGTCATTACTATACAGTACGGTAATTTTATCAGAATTTTTTTCTCTGTAAATGATGTTGATGTCTAGAACAGAATGAAATCTATGGAACCAATGCCAAAAAGCCTTTAATAGCTCATAACTGCTAAAAGAAGACACACTTTAATTATCAATATTCATCTAAAAGCATAGTGTGAACAAAAGAGTCGTAGTTTTGAAGAAATGAATAATTATTTCATTTTGTTTCAAAAAGTTTGCACAGTTTGTTATCTAACTCTTCAACATGAAAACAATTCAATGTTAGTTCTAATATAAAGTATAATTTTTGAAAAATTATGATTGAAATCATGTGTGATTAATAAGTTTTCAATAAGCATCTAGTTTTCAATAATTATATTGGTTTGAGAAGCTAACTACACAACAGAGTCGCATCAATATTTAATTTCAATTTTATAAAATAAATAAATAAATGCGATTAACTTACCACCACATATATATAAGAATATGCCGCAAAAGCTGCATGTCCAGAGGGAAAAGATAATCTAAATATGCATTAACAACATATTAATAGTATAGTACATTAATAGTATTTTATAGTGCTTAGTTATAAGATTAAGTAAAAAATAAGTTTGGGATTGTAAAAAAATTACTAAGCCCGTTGGTTTGGTACTGCAGCACCAAAATTTGGACATCATAAGGATCATAAGGATTAAAAATTACAAAGCAACCTATGGCCGGAGTAGTCATCATACAATTCCAGGGGGGCTCGTTCAGAATGAACTTGTCATTCGTGCGCATTTGAAACAGTAATTGTTTTGACATAATCCTAATTTTATGTTACTTTTACGTTTATTAAAAATTATTGTAAAAGCACTGAATTCCATGTGGAATTATCTTTGAATAAGCAAATTTTATAATTTTGTGCTAAAGTTATTCGATTCTTTAACAGATAACAGATTCGATTCTCTCGAGATATGGATAAAAACTCAAAAAACTGACACTATCATTAGGGATTTAAACTTCCTTTGACTGTTCTCTCGTCTAAAACATTGGGTTCCAGTACTTGATAATACAATCATTAGATCAAAAGTTTTTCAAGATGTTCACTTTTGTGCACTGTACGTTATTTTAGCTTCTTACCATCTTATCACCTTATCACAAGCCAAATATTAAATTCCTACGGCTGACTTAAGTTACCCTATATTTAGGAGGGGTAACTTAACCTAAACTTGTTTATTTATTTATATTTTTGTGCTTAACATTCATATTTTAGAAAACTTTCAAGCTCGTAAACATGAAGTGAAATATTTTTAGCTATTATATACAAGTTTTACAATAATTAAATAATCTCTAAAGTTAATTCTATTGAATTGGAAGATGTCTTAAATTGTAAAGTTGTTAAAGTAACCAGGAATGTCGGTACTTTTAAATTTTGATAAATAAATAAATAATTAATTAAGAAAGTTCTCAAAATAATAACGTTTTCAAAAACATTAAAGTACTGTAATTAGATCAATTTTTTTTTCTTCTCAAAATGATGCATTTTTTTAAAATCTGTGTTACATCTTTTTTCTCGTTGAGAAGATTTCGTTGAGAAGTTTTTGTTCCGAAATTGCTCTATTTTGTTTTGTGAAAGGAAGAAAAAAGCATAACTGTTAGCATAGTTATAATGATAAAAATAACTATGCTGTAATGTTAGAATTTCTAGCATCTTTGAGTTTTCTGTAAAATGTTTTAGCGTTAAAGTTAATCCCTGTCATGAAAGCTATAGATGAATATTTTCCGTTAGTTTTGATTTAAATGATAAGTTTTCATGCTTTGACTCTGTGCAGAAATAAAAAATTTCCTTGCCAAGAAAAGTTGTAAGTTTCTTTGCAGACTGAAGAGCATGGTTAGAATTCGGATAGCTGAAATTTTAATTGTAACGTGAATTTAAGATGTCTTCAACTGCGTAGAAATTAATAATGCGTTATGAGAATTAAACTTACCTCATATTAGTCTCATCTATATCTGAATTGGTACAAGAAAAAGATTCAACATAGAAATGTGGATATGCAGCTTCAGTACAGTTGAAATCAGGTCTACAAACCGCCAAGAAAGCTGGGCGTAGTCTTCCGTAGAGAAATTTAATGGTGTTGTTTATCATCTCCGTCATGAAAATCCCAAAAAAGAATATTCCACTGTATACATAAACGCGTTGAAACATGTAAGGAACATTCCATCCAAAAAAAAAAATTACATCACCACCTGTACACTCATTAGAACTTCTGTACTGTCTGTAAAACTCCACTAAAATTATCTGGAAAATATAACGAAAAATTTAGTAAAAAATCAGTGTTAACCAGACTTAAAACTTCATTTACTTCAAAAATACATAAAATGCTCGTGGAAATGCATTTTTTCCTGATGCGCCCGTCTCGTCTACTGTGGTTTTTCTTGTTTTGTTTTTATCTTTTCTTTCTCTCTCGCTACTGTTGTTTTTCTAGTTTTGATTCTCATCTTTATTTTCTCAATTTTCGTTGGCAACTTTATGCTTTACACCTCAAATCACTTTGTTTCTTCTTATTCTCGTCTGGTAGAGTCTTGAAAATGGGCGACTATTTTTTTAAACGCTTAAAACATGTCGGCTGTTTTTGCTTTTTATGTATTTTTGAAGTGAATGAATTTTTTTTTGTAAAGTAATATCTTACCACTTTAGTTTTTTGCGATTATTTATTTAAAAACAGTATCAGGACAATTAAAGAGACTTTGAGTTTTTTCTTACCACTGCTATTGGAGGAAAGACCGATATATACCATCTTTGCTCGTCTGAAATTCTTTCTTCTTTTGGTGGATACATGATGTCTTCATCATCGCAAAAAAATCCTCGTTTGTACGGCTTTAAGTAGTCAGAAAACAATGCTAAGAATGATGAAACTGAAAGATTGATAAATTGAATATCTACACTTACATTTTTACACTTATTTATTTGAATAAAATCATGGGGGAAAAACTTTAAATATTATAATATATATACATATTTTTGTTTATTTCCAATGAGATGCACAATCAGTCTTGCCGATGAGCAGACCTAGTGCGTTCTCCAGAGGTGGTATCCACTCTTTCAGGACCACCACAATGGGTGAGATACCGTTGGTCATGTTAATTTGGACGTCTAGTTTCTGCCACACTAGATGGCAGCACCGAGACTCTATTTGGATGCTAAAGTGCACTAGGAATTTAATTTTGCCGGAAATGCCAAGAGCCAATAAGGCACTCCAGGGATCTTTTACATGCCGCATAATCATACGACATGGCCGCTGAGGATTTTCTGCATCCCGAAAATCCGGTGTCTGAGCCGGGGATCAAACCCGCAGACTTGGGCTCAGAAGGCCGACGACAAACCAATTGCGCCACCTAGCCACTTATAAAATATATAAAATTATCTAAAATATATGCGTAATTCTTTTTCATAGTTCGTAAACTGATGTGAAATTATTTTCGCAACTCTGAATTTTTAAAGCTGTTACAACGATCGATGCAGGTTTGCGAGCCATGCCACACTAACGAATCTATGATAACAAATGAAACTTCATTTGCAAGCTCCACTTTTTTCATACCTTAGAAACTATTATATTGATAACTTAAACCCAAACTAGCCGCCTATTTTTAAACTTGAACATAGATAACATTATGTTTTCCGTTGCACTTGGGATTTTTTTCAACAAATTGCGTTATACTGAAAATAGGATATTGAACAGTTACATGATACAGAATAAAAAGAAAAGTTTTAAAAATTTTGTTTAAAGGCTAAAATAATCATACAAAAACTGTAAACACAATAAAAAAAATTTCAAGTTCAAATCTACGCTAAGTTATTTATGTCGTAAACTGATTGAAAAATCCGGTGCTTCGTAAACGACTGACGTCATTTTGCAATGCACTAGGCTAATTAAAAAAGTCTGGTATTTTATACAATTTTTTGGCTAATTTACAATGGGTTTTAGGAAAATTAGAGAATTTTCATTGATTTTTCAATTAGCCTGATTCATTTCAAGTAATTTTCAATGAGTTATATAGGCTTTTTGAAATACGCCTATTGAAATTCAGGTTCATTTCAATACGCCAATACAAATTCAGGCTTATTGAGTAAATTTTCGCACATTTTTAATTAGCTTAGACGCATTTAGACTTAAAGAATACCAGAATCAATTAAAAAAATTTGAGATTTTCTCAATTAGCTTGGCGGTTTGAAAAATGATGGCGATCAAATTAAAGGGTTATGAAATCTGCGAACTGCTTTTTAATCTGTGAAATTAATTGCTGTTTTGTGAAAACGCCACTTAAATTTATTGGTTAATTTATCACTCAATATATTAATTAATTCACTTAACAATTTATTTAGTCCACATGTATGTAAAAATCTCTGCATCTTAATGATCTACACGAGTTTCGATTTCAAAAAATTAAAAACGAGTATATTTTTGAAACTCTAACTCCTTATTAATAGTTACAATAATCTATGAACAATATTTAATATAAACAAATGTTAGTTATGGATAAAAACTTACATATTGTAAGAAGAATGATGTCTATACAAACATTCAACGTAACATTTCTTGTCCTCACACAAACATCCATGGTAAATCTAAAAGCAAAATAAACTGAAGCAAAAACTACTTCTTGAAGTTTAATTTTAAAAATATGACATAAAAATTTTAATTTACTAGTTACAGAAAAAGGTTAAAAATTTTATATGTTAGTAAAAATGAGGAAATATTTTCAGACTAAGCAATTTCTACAAAAGATTTGAATCGCTAAAAGTTTTTAACTTTGGATTTTTAAAAAGCAGCACGAAACTTGTCAAAGGAAAAGCTTTCATTAGCTTCAAAAATGAAGTTGGAAAAAGTCCACCTTCATTTTTGAGCAAAACAAGGCTTCCATTATCCACTAGTTGATCAGTCTTAATTATTTAATTTTTTAAAATTGTTCATTTCAATACGAAGTTGTTATATTTAATTCGATTAGAACAATTATTTTGCCTTGAAGCGTAAATATTGCACGCTAGATTCGTTATTCCAAACAAACCATACAAACACGAAAACAAACAAAATTAAGGTTAGTTCCTCTTTGTTTTCGAAATTATTATTCATCGATTTAAATTCTGTCTGCCCATTCCTCTTCAGAAGCTTCCATTTGTTTGTTCTCATTTTCATTTTATTTTTTCCCTTTATTCCTGATGCTAATAATGTATCAGTCAAACCATTTCAACATATTCAAGAAGACTGCATTTTCAAAACTTTAAGGTAATCCATAAAAACTTGAAATGCTGTTTTTCTAAGCTCTGCCACCAAAGAAAATAAAAAAAAGCCATTAAGTGCCTTACACTTGAATCAATGCCATGATTTCAAACAATATATATAATCTTGCAGCGAAGAATTATCTGTGCTTTACGAACAGACAAATAACTTAAATATTTAAAAAGTTATTAAACTTTCTTAAAAATCGTCAATTTGGAGACATTTCCCCACCTAGATAATAATTACCAAACCTCGGCCGTATTCTCCGTTTTTGTAAATTTTTATGAACCCAGGTAATGCAACATTGGAGTAAGTTTTTGAATATTAAAAACTTAGATCACAAACGCTTTTCATTTTCACAAAACTGTGGCTTTTCTCCTTACTGACTTTTTGCACCATTTTCAAAGTAAGCAGGAGACAGCTCTGGCATTAGATAGACTAAGCTTGACCTAACAGTCGTGAGTAACAGTTGCAAACTCACAGCAGCTATAAAAATAGCATATTATTCGCAAAAAAGTATTATTTCATAATCCGGCGGAGCTTTCGAAAAACAGCCTTAACATGTTTTCCCAATAAGCTCTTCAGCAATGAAGTATTACTTTATGTTATTTTACATATTTAATGATCGACCGAAGAACTTAGTGGAAGAACATGTTTAATACCATTAAAGTAAATTTGACAGAACCAGTTTTAGAATGTATAGAAATCTCAGGTAAATATAGAAATATCTTTTTCCATGGATATTAATCTAATATCCAATATTTGAAGACCATAAAATATTCTTTACATGTTTTCACCCTAAGCTCCTACATGAAATATTTATATGTAATATTATTTTATTTATTTTATGATCAACGGAACTTAGTGGAAGAACAATTTCAACAGCATTATAGCAAATTTGATGGAACCAGTTTTAGAACATAGAGAGATATCAGGTAAATATAAAAATATGTTTTCCTTAGTCCTTTAATTATGGACGACAATAAAATATTTTTAATATGTCCTTCCACTAAACTCTTCTATGGATCATTTTTAGAAAATACCCATAATTATTGAGATCATTTAAACTAAATTTTATTATAATATGAATACGAATACTCACCATAAGTAATATTCCTAAACGTTACAAGTTTGAAGTTAAACAAAACTGCTGTTTGATGCAATTTTAGAAGACACGAAGCGTTATAAAATATTTCACACTTTTTTTTTCTTTCAGACTGTTACATTTTTTCCTGACTCACATTGTGTTTATAGTTTACAGTTTGAAAAGAAAATTGCGAGAAATACTCGTCGTATGTAGTAATAGCATCGTAAAATCTATGTTATTCTATCAGGTGTTTCAATGACAAGAAAAAAAAAAGCTTTTATCGATTCTGCTTATTGTTAAATTTTCACGGCAAATGCAATAATATATGTACTGCGATTTTAAGGGTTATTTGTCACATTTTAAGGCTTAGTTTCATGTTTTGTCATGTTTTGTATAAAAATGAATAAACAATATCAGTTCTTATGAAGTGAATGATTTGAGTAAATTTTACGAACCTTTAAATTTATGTTTAATGGGATTCGGGAATCAAAGGAGAGTTTAAAAAAATGAGACGAAGAAACAAATAAAGAAACATTAATACTATTTTTTATAAAATAAACTTATCCCATTTTTGAGTTAATTCAATGCAAATAGTTAATAATTTACTTTATAAAGCTGATGTCAGAATTCATTGGAGTGAAGCTTGTTTCAATAATTTCAACTAACTTATTTTTATTTTTGTGATTAATTATTTAATTTTATGATTAATTTTTATTTTAATTTGCATTTACTTTTTAGCGTTTTTATGATCATGTATTAAAGAGTTTGTAGCATATTTTTCAGTTTGGCTTGAAAAAAGGAGAGACTTTTTTTACAGTTTTTTTTCTAGTATTTTTAAAATAAGAATCGAAATATCCGTCGATAATTTTGATCTCTTTGTGATTTAAATAAGAAGTTTTTAAACTTTTTGTCGTAAAGGCCGCACTCAGGGACCTGCCAAAGATTACGAATTACAATTACAAATGTGAAATATTTAAAACTTATAAATTTGTATCTCTGAGAAATATAATTAAAACTATGATTAAGGTATAGCGTAATAATAATATTAATTAAAAAAAATAAATATTAAAAAATAAGTAAATTACAATGGTCTAATCTCATAATTTAATCAACCAAAATAAACTCATGAATTAAGATTCTTGGCAGCCCTGAGCTATTACGTGCACTATTAAAAATTTCTCAGAAAAAATGGTTATTTATTTAATTGTTATTTCACCATATTCAAACAAAATAGCCAAATAACCGTAAATAGGATTGTAATCAAACTGTCAACTGTTGAGAAAAAACGTTTGTTAATTGCTTTCACCAGATAGGGTTAAACAACCAGAATTTTATCACACCAACCAAGCTTAAAACAGCTAAATAACCATAAATAGGATTGTAATCAAAATGTTAGCTATTGAAAAAACCGTTTATTAATTGCTTTCACCAGATACGGTTAAGGAACCAGAATTTTATCACACCAACCAAGCTTAAAACAGCCAAATAACCATAAATAGGATTGTAATCAAACTGTTAGCTATTGAAAAAACCGTTTATTAATTGCTTTCACCAGATACGGTTAAATAACCAGAATTTTATCATACCAGCCAAGCTTACCTAATGAAACCGCTTAGTTCCTTGTAACTACGCATATTTCATAGCCGAGAGGGATAATTTGTCAGTTTCATGACCGACAGAACTGGGTTTTGAGTCCCAGCGTTGACACTACAATATTTCTTCCATTCGCTTCAACGCATGAAGTTTCCAGTGTCCTGCACTGTTCAATATTTGTATCCTATACTCCCCAATGCACATTACGTAAGGAAACGCAAGTAAAGAAAAGCTTAGCTCCTATGTCCAGTTAAATTTCTTTTATGCGGCTTTGAAACCATCCTAGTTCAAATTTGTTGAAAACTGTATAGTTTTGTATTCAAGGTCTTATAACCATTCTAGTTGTAAACGGTTACAAAACCGTAAAGGTAAAAAAATGTTCTTTACCATAAATTTTATGGTTAATTGAATGAATATACTGCTGACGGTTATTTACCATAATAATATAATGAAGATTCTAACAGTGTAGTCGCCACCTTCAAGCACATTGACTCTTTCATGTCCCCAAGAACAAAACCTAGCCGACACAAGCATTAATTTACGGAAAAGAGGCCATGTCTTTTCCGTAAATGTCCGTCTTTTCTTCTTCTTAGGAACTACAGTCGGTTATTGATCTTGGCCAGTAACCAGCTGTTTTCTCAGTTAGCTTTAGGAAATTAAGAAAAACTGTTTATTTTGTGAGCTGTCTTAAGCATTTTTTAAGTCATTTTTTTATCTTCTTGCTTCACCCCTTGCCTTTTGCTTCTCTTCCTTTTGCTCCTCTTGCTTTTTTTCCTTAACTTTTGATTATCTTGCTCTTTTACTCGTCTTTTGGTCTTTTTTCTGACAAAGTATTTTCTGCATTTTTATTTATATTATGCTACTAGCTGATATATCAGTTACTGTGATTCTCCTAATCACTATTTGGTAAGAATACAAACATTGTAATGTTTTTAAATATAATCACCACGCGACTCGTGTAGCTAAAAAATATTACAGGTTTATCATTTAATATATTTTTCCTCCAGCTTTTTTGCTTCGAAGGAGGTTTCTTTCTTCTATTTTCTTATCTATGAACTTACCTTATCATAGTGGTGCCTCGTTTATTAAATTTTAATCAATCAAGGTTTGTCTCTGAAAATCATAGTATGCTTACATCAGTTGCTTATCTATGCTAGTAGCTCGAAGATGGTGACAAAAATGAGCTATCATTGCCGAAAATTGCTTAATTTTTAAATTTGTTTGAACTGGGGATAATTTCGAAAAAAAAATTAAAAGTAAATTTTGATGGCTCACACTTCATGCATTCATATTCAATATTTATAGTTTTTACCAAAAATGAATCTTCTAAATATTCCATTCAAGAATGTTTTCAAAATTACGCTGCTGGTATTTTATCCTCTTTCATGCAAATAAGACGCTTCAATGTGTGGCACTGTAATATAGCAACTTCCTTGATCGAGATAGGAAAAGTTCACGTTATTCCAACTGTACCGAACTCACCTTCTCGCAAGCGGTGCCTTTGAATGATTTGCATCATAAATAGCAATATACAAATGCATGATTTTTGACAGGCATGTAAAATCAGCCCTTGATCAACAAGCACTTGGAATATCGAATTGCAATGTGTTCTAAAACTTTTCTAATGTGACTAGAGTTTAATAAAATGAATGGAGCTTAAATTTTTTTCCTGTAGTTCTGTGTTGCCTGAAACGATTAAATGCTTTTTCATACAACGTTTTTACATTAGTATGTGCATGAGTAACTTTCCTTTACTTTGCCACCTTACACATCTTTTAGAAATTGGGAGCAGGGGTTTAGCCTATCTACTGCATAAGCCTTGCCTAACTCATCTGAAATGAATACAAACAAAAACTTAGAATTCTTCAAAGTTACGTAAGTATCACTCTTAAAACATTGCTGATGACGAGATATGTTTCCAGTAATTATAAAATCCTGTTGTAATAAAATCCCGTAATTATATTTTCACCCAGAAAAAGTGTGATTTGAATATTTATTTTTTCCGAATATATGTGAATTTTTGAGAAATATTCTGCTAGTAATTAGTCAGAATATGTGTAATATTTCAAACTTAAAAGCATATGAAAGTTGCTAACATTATATCAATTGCTAATAGAGCATTTGCCATCCTACGAGGTGAACTGGATTCGAATCCCAGCGATCAATGGTCGATACGAATTCCGCATCCGGCTTGCACCGACCACAGTGTCGACGTAAAATATCTTCACTATTAGACAGATAATGAGTTAGAGTCCCGTTGCCATCAGGCTAACCCTGGGAGGTTCTCGTAGTTTTCCTCTCCATGTAACGCAAACGCGGGTTAGTTCCCTCAAAAAGTCCTCCACGAAGGTAAATTTCTCTCAATACTTGATCCAGAAGTTTCCTTGTCTTCTTGTTTGGGTTCAACATTATAAAGCTACGGAGTTGAACATTAGTAGTTGTAAACTCAAAACATGTGGTTAGGCTAATCAACGACAGTTGTAAAATAAAATAACATTTCTAATGTTTTATTTTTGTATTAAACTATAAGTGATTTGTGCTTCCTTGATCTTCAATAGGAATCATATTAAAACTCCGATAAAAAACGAACATTTTGAAAAATGTGTACAAAAATTGACCGAAATCTTACGAAAAAAGAAAATCTACCAAACTTGACCCCCCTAATCTTAAAGCTGGGAAGACTCTCAGGGAGTTAGGGACGAGTTTGGGTTTTGAGAGAGGTTTTTTTGTAATACCTCTATCTTTTTTCATCTTCGTTTTTGAGGAAAATACTTCAAAATATCACTATTCTAAACAATTTGCTCCCTATTTCTATTTTGTGATTCTATTTTGAGCCTTCTGTAAGCAAGAAGGCAAAAACTTGTCGGGCACATTCAAGCACTCTTTTCTAGAGAATCCTAATCAGCAACAAAAAAGGAGTTTCTTGGAGGGTTCTTTGAAGTTGTCTCCTGTCCCATCTCAGCGATTGAGGATGAGGTTGAATCTTGAAAATGCATATCAAGATATTAGATTAAAACTATTCAAGATATTAAGATCGTTTTATTACTTTTCAGATACCCCTTAATTTTATAGGGAAAGCTATAATGAAAAAAAAAATCGATGTAATGTTAAGTAAACATTATTGGCGAAAAGAAAAAAAATGAAAATAATTTTTTTTCTATTCTGGATATAATAAAAAAGAAATCGATATTTTTTAAATGTGACTCAGCTGTGGACTATGAAGTACAAATAAAACTATTTCGTTGTTCATAAAAGTGGTACTGACTTGTTTACATCTGCGGCTTTTACCGCCATTATTATATCTTGCCTTCAATTGGATAGAAAAAAGTCAATTCATTTCTTTTCAAAACTAGTTTTTTTTTTCAATTCTAGAATTTCACCCAAAATTTTTACAAACCGCATAATCTCATTTATTTAAATGTTTTACTCTTTTTTCTATTTACTTTACGTGTTTATCTTGGGCAAACATTCGTGGCATTATTGTCTTTCCACTCAAACTTTACTCTCTAGAATTTTTTCTTGCAATATTTTTTTTTCCTTTCAAACAAACAAACATGCTTATCAGGTAGAAGTTAAAAATCGAATTTGCTAGTTGTTTTCCCTTAGAGAATTTAAACGAGGTTTGCGTTTTACTTTAAATGAAATTTAAATGTTTTGAGAAAAATGCTGGAAGTTATGTTGTTTTGGTGTCCGAATGTAGTGATTTTACTAGTAATTTGTTTATTCTTTTCTAAA